CTGTCATATAGGGTCACTATGAGTCAGAATTGACTTGACTACACACAGCAACAACCCTAAAATAGCACAGTGCTTTTGTCTTAGTCATCTAGTGCTGCTATAACAGAAATACCACGAGTGTATGGCTTTAACAAAGAGAAGTTTACTCTCTCACAGTCCAGTAGGCTACAAGTCCAAATTTAGGGCGTCAGCTCCAGGGGAGCACTCTCTCCGTCGGCTCTGGAGGAAAGTCGGTGTCATCAATCTTCCCCTGGTCTGGGAGCTTCTCTACGCAGGAACCTCAGGTCCAAAGGACATCCTCTGCTCCCGGCACTGCTTTCTTGGTGGTATGAGGTCCCCATGTCTCTCTGCTGGCTTCTCTCTTTTATATCTCAGAAGAGATTGGCTTAAGACATCACCTAATCTTGTAGATGTCATCAGTATGACTGCCACTAATCCATCGTATTACATCACAGTGATAGCATTTACAACACATAGGGAAATCACATCAGATGATAAAATGGTAGACAATTATACAATACTGGGAATCATCACAATTCAATCCATGACGGCTTTATAGGAACTTTCTCAAAGGCAGCACAGAGGTGTGGGAGAGCCTATAGGACCATGTGAGTAGGAGTCATTCTGAATTATCAGGGTAGAGGGAGAAATAGGACCAGAAAACAAAGCCAAAGAAAGGCTTTAACCAGGAAGGCAACCTGTAGGTTCATCAACTGTGTGAGGATGGCGTGAAGAGTCTAGAGACTGAGAAATGATAAAAAACAGGAAGTTGGGTCAGATAGGGGCAATTCGGGAGCAAATTCTGGAAGCATTGTGTCCTTTGACATTTGCTTTTTATATGCATGTAACTGGAAGCTTACTGGCCTAGGAAACAGTTCTTAAAGGTGAAAGAACCTGACAAAGAAGGTAACTGTGCAAGTGTGGCAGATTAGCCTTGAAATGGAGGTGTGGGCTTGCTTTCTCTCTAAGACGGATTTAAGAGATAAGAATGACAGACAATGCCAGGAAACTTTAAAGTAGAAGGAACATACATTCAGTGAATAATCAGACAGTTCTATCTTTTCAGTAATATGAGGAGAGGTTTTTAGAGAAGACCAGGACAGGGTGGGGTTTAGGATTTGAGGTAAATAGTAAAGATTTGGAACAATCCCTGAAAAGGAATCAGCCAGAGCTGAATACAAAGTTTGCCAGGCAGTGTTGTTGTATCAGCTGTAATTAGATAGCATAAATTTGAATTGAAACCAATTGGCATCATTTAGTAACTTTCAACAGCAATTCTTAGGCCATACCAAAAAAAAAAAACCAAACCAAACCCATTGCGGTTGAGTCGATTCCAACTCATAGCGATGCTATAGGAGAGAGTAGAACTGCCTCATGGAGTTTCCAAGGAGAGGCTGGTGGATTCGAACTGCCAACCTTTTGGTTAGCAGCCAGATACTTAACCACTGCGCCACCAGGGCTCCAAAAACCCATTGCCGTGGAGTCGATTCCAACTCATAGTGACCGTATAGGACAGAGTAGATCTGCCCCAGAGGGTTTCCAAGGAGCGGCTGGTGGATGCGAATTGCTGACCTTTTGGTTAGTAGCCAAGTTCTTAACCACTATGCCACCAGGGCCGTGGGGAGTGGAAATACAGACAAAAGACTTTGAGGTCTGGCATGGACTGGGTTTGGTAAGGCAAATGCACATTGGGTCTGGGGACAGGACTGAATTGAATGAGGAATTTTCTGGTGAGAGTATAAGTACTATTGAAATAACTAACCTCAAGGTATAGAGTGAATAAGAAAGCAAACATTGTTTAAAGAAAGGTGATAAACTAGGAAAATAGGGAGTTATTAAGTAACTAGTGGCCACAGAAGAAGGAATTAGAGATTATTTGAGCAAGTAGGACAGTTGAAAGGTCAGAAGATTGTGGCCAGAGGAGATTTTTTCAGAGTAGAAGATTTTAGAAGCAGAACAATCACATTTTAGATGAAGACGAAAGCCAAGTTGTAGCTGTGCTGCCGCGAAGCTGAAAGGAAGTAGAAGCAAAACCTGTTGGAGTTGAGATCAGCGAATGTGAGGCCAGAGTGGGTGTAGAGTGAATGATTTATTAATAAGGATGTTGAAACTACTGAGAAGACAGAATGCACCCAAAGTAGGTAGAGAAACAGTTGATCAAAAGACAAAGTCTTTAAGGAAATTGGGAGACTGTCTTGGGTTCTGGATATATGGGGAGAATGTGATGTAACTGAGTGGTGCTGCCTTAGAAGAGAAGGGCAGACATGATGGGCAATGGGGACAAAACAGCAGTCTGGAAGCATTTTGGAAACATGAAGAAGTGTGTTCCGTAAGTTGAGTCATTGGAAGCAGAGTGGTCTCTACTTGAGATGGCTGGGAAGGACATGTCATATTGTACAAAAGCCAAGATTCAGTTTATGCTGGAAGTAGAAGGGGCAATTGAGGATGTAAGGTAGTTAATTTCTATTAGACAACCATTTTAGAGGCTACAGCAGATAATGATGGGTGTGGGTACAGGGGGCCATGCTGGCCTGGAGATGTGGAGGTGGAGCTGGATTGGGATAAACTGGTTGAAGGCAGAGTTTGACTTCAGGGAGTAGGACAGTAATTATTAATGACAGGGATGAAGGAAAGATAGTGATGAAAGGTGGAGGCACATGCTAATAGACAAAAGCTAGGAAAGAGTACGTAAAGTTTTTATAGTTAGTGGACTTTCTGGAATTAAGTAGCCCCAGGTTTCTAATGAAAACATTGGTGTATCCAACTGGAGTGTCTGTTTGGAATGTTAGTGTGACCAAATGGAACGCTAGCATGACCAATTGGAATGGCTATTGGAACGTCAGTGCAACCAATTAGAATATTATCCTTATCATCTGGAACATTGGTGTGACCAATTGCACCGTGGCAGTTAAAACAGCCAGAGGGATTTTGGACTAATAATGGGAGTAGAATAGATTTAGAATAGCTTTCAAGAGAGAGAAATTCTGAGATGTTTTTGAGTCCTATCCAAGCAGTATCTCAAATGCTGGTCAGTAGGAAGACCCAGAGATCTTTTCATTTCTGTGGGCCCTCGTACCCAGGGAAGGGTATGAGGACCTTCTTTTATGATCTGCATAGCCTTAGCACTGGTCTCTAATAGATAGTATGTGCGCGATGCAATCTTGTCTGTCTAAGAATATTAAATATTTGTTGATTAACTTTTTTCAGCACGTATTTTGAATATCCCTTAAAACTCTTGGACTTCTTCCTCTGTTTGGGAAACAGTGTGATACATTAGACAGAAATGAATTTTGGAGTCGAACAAACCTTGATTTGAAAACTAACTCTGCTGCTGATTATCATGTGTCCCTGGCCAAGAGATTTACTTACCATCTCTGGACCTGTTTTCTCATCTGTAAAACTGGGATAATGATACTACTGCCAAATCACTGGGAGGATTTATTAAGAAGATGTATGTGGAGCACCCAACAGAGTCTAGCACAGAGGAGGTACTCAGCGAATCTAAGTCCCCCCATTATAATGGATGTGCTCGTTCAGCTGACTCCTCATGGCCAAGTAGCTTGCGGTTCTGGCGCTGCGGTGCAGCTGCCTCTGCCCTCAGGCCTGCTCATTACTGTCTGGTTCAAGAAGAGCTGGCCTCCTTGGTCCAGTGCTCAGCGAGCTCATTTTGCTGAGCTGTTTGGCTTCTAGGTATCCATCTTCTCACAGTAGCAAACAGGCAGTGTAGCCTGACTTTCTGAGGCTCTGGGGGTCTTTGTCTTAGGGTATCCTGCATTCCAAGTCAAAACCCTTGTCCTGTGTAGTTTGCTTTATGATCTGAGGATGGTTCAGAATACGTGAAATCAGAGCTGTGTGTCAGAATGTTGAGATCTCCTCTCTTGTAGTGGGGTTGGGCTGCCCAAAGTGATGTAAAGTGTTCAGACCGTGGCAGGGTATTGTGTCTTTTCTTAGATCTTTTGCATCTGCTCATTTGGGCTATTGCTTTCCTGGCTACTGTACATACTTTTTTTGCTAGGACCTGTGTAGCCAGTGTTGGTGTCAGTGCCAGGTTTTTGGACTTCAAGAGACATTGTGTTTTTTCAGTGGAGAAATGTGTTGCACTTGGACTTTGAGAAACGCTCCTGTTTTTTGAGGTCCTTCATAATTTCTAGCTCTGAGCAGGCATGTTGCTTATCACCTTTGCTTTTTGCAAAGGTCATGCTTATTAAGTCTATGTATTAATGGCAGGTATTGTCAAGGACTTGAGACATCTGGTTTGGGGTGTACCACTGCTCTAGTGATGACAGGACTAGTAATAACCAACCCTGGTCTGTCCTCACAATCAGGACAGAACAATCTTCTCGCTTACGTCACACAGTGGCCAAATTGTAATTTCGATAAAGTGCAGAAAAGATCTATCTCATATAATAAGATTCCAGTATAATCACTGGACTTTGGGAAATGCTCCTGATCCTCACTGAGCAGCTGCTTTATGTTCCTAGCTCCCTTCTAAGTTCATTTAGTGAGGTCTTACAGTGAGGTAGGTTGGAGACTGGGCTGAGCATTAACTGAGCCCAAGAGCTTATCTGGAAACTTTGGTTTTAAAACTATATTGCTAACATAAGCTTGTCCCTTCCCTCTTGGTTTTGCTTTGTTTTAGTGAAGAAGACCTGCTATTTTGCCCTAAAAATAGAAATGGAAAAATTTAGTTTTTTGAGAGTACCAGTTTGCTTTTTCTCTATTTGGACATTATCAATAATGGTTCTACAGGCAAACATTTTTGAGAAATGAAGCTCACGTTGTCTTTCAGAGCACAGAGGGTGGTGGCAGGGACTGACTGTTATCCCGGAGTGACCCAGTGTCAACCTAGATCCACCCCTAATAGGCCTGTGGCTGCTATTCAGCTGTCTCTCTGTTGTCCACTCCACAATTTAGAGATTGCCTTATGTGCTCTGGACAGAGCTAGAGTTTTCCTTGTTGCCATGGTGGTTTATGATGCTGAGACCTGTTTTTGCTTTCAGGAGCTGCTAAGTCGCACATCTCTTGAGACCCAGAAGCTTGATCTGATGACTGAAGTGTCTGAGTTGAAGCTCAAACTGGTTGGCATGGAGAAAGAGCAGAGGGAGCAAGAGGAGAAGCAGAGAAAAGCAGAGGTGAGTGTGATACACCAAATACCAGGGGTACCTGTACTGTCCTAAATTCAAACCTGGTGTTGGAGGCATGCTAATGTTGACTCAGGCCATATGGTCAACCCCAAGCCTGGCAGGCATTAGGTGCCAGAAACAGCTATGCCCTAGAGGGTGCAATGATCTGTTAATACCAAGCTGTCAGATTTTGCCGTGGCTACGTATATCAACAATGCCCAGACCACCCAGTTTTGGCTCTAAGGCTTTATTCTCTCTCAAGCTACTGACAAGGGTGGAAAGGGAAGCAGTAGCGGGGAGGTTCAGACAAGATGTAAAGGGGCACAAGATGTCTTCGATGAGAGCCAAGGCTGTGACAAGATGTGATGAAGTGTGATGAAGTCAGTGTCCTAACAGTCCACATCACTGTATCTAAGGAGTGTGGATGTAGTTTTTGATGTGCATTTCCCTGACCCAGATGGAATCCTCAGATTATGTGTTTCTTTTCTCAGGATTGCTCATATGAGTGAGCTTATGCATAGACCTTGTCTTAGAGAATGCTTTCCTATTTTTTGTTTTTTGGGGGCTCCATATGCCATTGGCTAGAGCATGCCAGACTCCTTTTGGATAAATGTTTAAAGAAGTTTAGGCTCAGAGTACCTTTATTTGTGAGAGGGCAGCCTGTTTTAATCTTAGATAACTATCCTTTGTGTGCCTCCACGTTAAGTCCCTGTACTCATGCCAGACAATGTGAGCTGTGGAAAGAAGATAGGCTTTAGGTTTAGATAGGTTTAGGTTTGGCTTAATTACTGACCTAACTGTTTAATAACTGTACAACCTTCAACAAGTTAGCTACTTAATCTCTCTGAACTTTAATCTCTTTATCTGTAAAATGGGTAACTATATGGTGAAGACCAAATAAAATCATGCAAGTTAAGTACCTAGCATAGTATCTGGCATTTTGTAGATACTTCTTTTATCTTAATGCCTTTGCCCCAATTAGGCATCTCCAAAATCTGAAGGTGGGTATTGGTCCTTTTTGATAAGTGCAACCATTATTGTGCACTGAAACCTACCATACTTCTGTATTTGCTGGGCAAAGACTGGTGATTGAAATACTTCTAATGTGCAGGGAATAGTCCTTGCATTGTTTTTGAAAGCATGTTCGTTAGTAAGAAGGATAGATTGCCAAAAGAAGCAGAGGACGGTATATTCTAATGATTAAGAGAGTAAGCTCTTGAATCACATCTCCTGGCTTTGATCCAAGCTCTGCTACTCAATAGCTTTGTGACTATGGGCAAGTAATTTAACCTGCCAAACTTCTATTTTCTCTTCTGTACAATGGAAATAACAATACTTCATACCCCCTGGGTTGTTGTGAAGAGTGAATGAGATAATGCTCATACAGCCCTTAGCATAGTGCTGGACATATAATAATAGCATTTATGGATCATTTGGATCATTTACTGACAGTCTTAAGCATGCTAGAAATGGAAATGTATACTTACATACATTATTTACATACTGTTAAGACCACATAGACTGGAAGCTTGTCTGTGTGAAATGTTACTGGAATGGACCCTGCTTCTGAAATGTTCAGAGAGAAGTAATTGAATTTTCCCCTGGTTTAGAGTTATTTTACCAATGTTTCAAGATGTGTGATTAAATGTGGTTTTAGGGGCAGAATTCAGTAAACTCTGTGAAAACATTTAAAGTGGAAGAAACAAATCAAAACCACTTAAGAAAAAAGGAGAGGGGGGAAGGTTACTGGCTCAAATAACTTAAAAAGCCCAGGGTTTAAAGAATCCAGTATGACTAGATCCAGGTGATCTCACAGTGTCATTAAAAATCAGTGTTACTCTTTCCCTTGGATCTGTTTTAGCCTTATTCTCAGGAGGGCTCTCCTCAAGTGGTAACAAAGATAGCCACCATCTGGTCTAGATTTATATCCTACCAGCCTGGCAACTCTTGCAGAGAAGCAGATTCTCTTTCTCAGAGTTCCAGTGAAAGTCTCAGGGTTGCATCTCATAGGGCCAATTTAGGTCGTGTGTGTAGTTCTGAACCTGTGAGGCAGGGTGTATGCATGAGTGTGAGAGTCAGTCTGTCTGTGAAAGAATGCAGAGTTAGTACGAAGCTGAGGCGTCTCAGTTCCTTCATAGGGAAGAGGAGAAGGAAGGAGAGCTCCTGTGCCTGGGACAAATCTAGAGCAGTCAGTTTATTGCTTGCTTTTTTCGTATTCTTTCTTTTCTGAAGGATTGTTTTTAAATCTGAGTTTTTTGTTGTTGGTTTTCATTAGGCTGTTTTTGCATGAGCTAGCTCTGGTGGTGCAGTAGTTATGGGCTTGGCTGCTACCTGAAAGGCTGGCAATTCAAACCCACCAGCCAGCCCTTCCGCAGGAGAAAGATGTGGCAGGCAGCCTGCTTTCATAAAGATTACAGCCTTGGAAACCATATGGAGTGGTTCTGCTCTGTCCTATAAGGTCGCTATGAGTGTGAATAGACTCATGGCAACAGATTACTCTTGCATAAGGCAGCACAGACCCTGAGCTCCTGGCCTCAGTCCTACCAGATAGCAATTCTTCCCCGTTGCTAGTACAAATATTAGGTTTCCATGTGGAGGGATTTCTTTTCTGCTGTTCAAACTTGCGATAATCAATGAGTAGCCACATGACCTGAAACAAATTTTTCATTCTTGTGATCGAACATAACCTTCACTGGTATGCCCAGAACCTGTACCTCTATTTGTAGCTGTCTGGAGCACAAGAGGCTTAAAATCACTTGGTGTTACTTAAGTTGCATCATTGTTATGTACACAGGGATGTTTATTTTGAGTGCCACATTCAGTTAGCTAAGGTCATGGGAGGTGGTAGTTGCGTGAATGCAGTTTCCCATCCTACCCTGCTGCTGTTTTTTCCAGTGAACGTACTTAACCTCAGGGCTGATTGTGGTTTGGAAAAGTCAGGATTTTTTTTTCGTTTTAGGTAACCAGATCTGAAATAAACTTCATCCATGTAGCTCAAGCTTTTTCCTCAGATTCCATTTGGTATTTCAATGGGGGAGGGGGGGGGAAGCGGGCAGGATGCTGTTAATTGCAGATTGCTCCTTCTGTGTTGATTCTTACCATACCCTAACCTAGTATCCTGCTGCCTGTAGCAAGTTATGGAATAATTACTGATGGTGTTTCTGTCAGACCTGAGAAATCTGATGGATAGGTTTCTTGTCAAATGGCGAGAATTTCTCAATGGCCAGCTTGCTCAGGAGTCAGTCAGTGGTTGCCCAAATAAGATGTGGGTGTATACTGGGATTCCTGTTTATCTTACCTTTTCTTGTCAGCTTCTTGCAGTGTTTCTGGACCATTTCAGGGAATTCAAGATTGAGTTAATTAGATTTACTCCTGAAAAGCAGCACTGGAGAAGAGTGATTGAGAAGGAAAGGAAATACCAGAGTTAGGAGGATGGAACATAAAGCAATCCAAAGGCAAACGAAAACCTCTAGGTGGCACATCAGATCAAAGGAGATGGGAAGTCTGGCTTCCCTAAGACTGGGGTGCAGGAGGCTTGCAGCTGAATCCCTCTGTGAGATCAAAGGATTCTGCATGTAACACCAGAGCAGCCTGTTAAGAGGAGAGCAAGAACCCAGGATATGCTAGGAAGTGAAGCCAGTCCAATTGATTCGGGATATACTCAAGCATGAAGAACCAGAAAGGCTCTTTAAGATTTCCTTGGCAGAAAATGGATGTCTTACAGCACAGGCAGCGTTCTCATCCCTTCTTTCTTGTTATGGGTAGGACCTTGGAAGAGAGGGATTTTGGTCTCTGAACCGGAGCAACCAGAATGCTGGACTTGGAATACAGAGCAAGGGCTGGGAGGATTATGTTTGCTCAGAGTTGAGCTGACCTGACTAATCAAAAAAAGCAAACCCATTGCCACTGCGTTGATTCCGACTCATAGCAACTTTATAGGACAGAGTAGAACTGCCCCATAGAGTTTCCAAGGAGCACCTGGTGGATTTGAACTGCTGACCTTTTGGTTAACAGCCAAGCTCTTAACTGCTGTGCCACCAGGGCTTGACTAGAAGGGTTTTATTGTTCTTATTTCATTTTATTTATTTTTTGTTTACTTATTTTTATTAGAATAGAAAATATATTCACACAATTCAAAAATCAAAAGTTCAAAAGGGTATACAGCAAAAAATCTCCTTCTGTGCTATTCCCTGGCCAGCCAGAAACCAGTGTTATCAGGTTTTTTTTTTTTTTAATCTTTCCAGAGTTGTCATATGCATGGACAACAGCAGACTCATGTGGAGAATGAAGGGGGAAAAAAAAAATATATATATATATTCTTCCCTTATTTTTGTACAAATGCACACTATTCTGGACCTTTCTTTTTTAAAGAATTTTGATGTTCATTCTGTACCAGGTACATTAAAAAAAAAAACTTCCTCTTATTCATGTCTGCATATCATTCCACTATCTGACTGTACCCTAATTTATTTAATTAGTTCCCTTTTAATGGCCATTTAGGTTGTTTCCAACTTTTTGCTATTATAAATAATGCTGCAGTAAATGACCTTGGACGTGTGTGAAGATATTGAAGTGAAATTGATTGGGTCAGAGGGTACATGCACTTAAAATTTTGACAGTTATTTCCAAATTGCCCTCTATAGAGCAGAGAGGTTATATTCCCACCAGCCATGTATGTGAGTGCCAGGGGGATACTAAACTGAGTATGAAGGAACGAGAAAAGAAACTAAATAAAACTGTAAACAAGTTTAACAGGTAGGATGGGGTGGGGAAGACTACGATTATGGGAGATCTTCAGTAGTTTCACATAGGAAAGAACCATAAAAAAGAACTTTGATGACTGTTGATGAAGGAGGATTAATAAACAAAGTGAGCTGAGATTACAATATGGAACAGCAATGATAACCTTATAAATGTCACCTGGGCTTCATGATTTGGGACCCAAGAATGGAACAAAGCTACAATAGGGTCTGTCCTATGGGAGGGAAATGGACCTGTTAAGAGAGGAG